AGTTATCCCCATTTATTTCAGGCTTATCATGTTCAAGGTCTGGATACCTTGAACATGATAAGCTTGACAACTGTATTTAATCTGCAATTAAGCTGACCATTCTGAGGACACTACATGTTGGCTCTGAGCTGCTGCTCTACCTATAGGAGCCCTGCAGTGCGGGAAGTACCGTGGTTATAATCAGAGCACATTAAAACATATGTGCAAAGGTGTCCTGGGCTGCATGTCCAAACCAAGACCTGATTACAGAACCACTCGGTGTCCCTCTACAGCTCCGAGCCATAGTGGGAAGGCGGACTCTTATTCCTTAAAGGGCTACAGATCTCCCCTGGGTATAGGGAAGAAGAGGGAACCTCCCCACAACTAGAGCATACTTGAAGTCTCTCAAACCCCCAGAGGAGTGATAGAAACACTCTTTTCCACTTCCCCTTGCCGCCTCCAACCCAGCGCTCCATGCTTGGAGACCCAAAGTGCTGCCATACGCATGAGGCTCATAAATGTATCCGGCTGTCATTGGCATATTTCTGTGATCCATTAAGAGATGATTGTCATAGAAGAGAAAGAGGAAAGAGGATGTGCTTTGGAATCACACATCTCTGGATTCAAACTTAAATTATTTAGTTTTCAGACCTCATGTTATCATCTGTAAATGAGAATAATAATTTCTACTTTTCTGGGTTATTGTTAGAAGAAATGAGTATATGAGAGTCTTGGTGTAAGAAATATTAATATCCTTTGTGCTCATGTATGAAATGTCATTACAAAAACAAGCACTACCATCATGTCAAACTGTGGACAGGTAGTTTGAGATCTGTGTGTACAAAAGTGCTCACATTGTGTAACTCCCACTTACAGCCTCCTTGACATCCCAGGATGAGATGCTGTTGATTTTCCTGCCATCCAAGCCCAGAAATAGAACTGGGTGTGTTTGGAGATTGGCCCAAAATGTGGGCAGGTATCTCTGTCTCCATTCAAAATATTTGCTATCTGTCCCCAAAGGCAAGGGCAGATCTGTAATGACAAGCCACAACTAACTTTCCTACTGCTTTCGACAAGGTGAAGGTGAAAAAAAGATAGAGTCTGAAGTGAAAATGGAAACATGGCATTTTCCCCTCCCAGTTCCATCCTCCGATATTTCCCTGTGTCCCTTCCTCTTAAGCAGGGGTTTCTCTCCCTGCACTTCCAGACTCGGAGTTGGAGGAGCAGAAGGTACTCGTTTGTCCCACTGACTGACTCTTTGTTTGGAACAGTGAATGGCACAACTGGAGAAGGCCTGTCCCTGAGCATCTCAGAGCGTCGCCGGGTCGCCGAGGAGTGGGTGACGAAAGGGAGGAACAAGTGAGTGGCCGCACCAGGATAAAAACACCCGTTGGCGAGAGCTGTATTGAGTGAGCCTCTTCCCCAGTTGACAGGGCCTCCCTGCCTGTGGTCGGAGGCGGGGCTCGAGGCCAGCCGGTGGGAAGATGAGCAGAGCTCCAGGATCCTGGCTTCTCAGTGGGGAGCGCCCTTCTCTTCTGTGTGGAAGGGCAGCCAGACTGCAAGGCACACCTGGCTCCCAGAGGTTCCATCAGAAACTACCTCTTACCCCTCTATGAGGCCAATCCCCTCAGGGTTACCTGTCCTCGGGCTGCAGGATAAGAGAGACGGTGAGGGTGCTGACTCTGCCGGGCCCCTGGCTCCTCCACGAGCACTCACACCCCTAAGCAGGGTGAGTGCCCGATCTCGGATCTCGGGATCAGCCGGGGCTTTCCTTGCAGGTCTTCTCTGTGCATGTGACTCAACGTGCTCTTTTACGGTGCTTCCCTTTGTGCCACTGGGGGACTATCTCTGTCCCCTAAACTTCCACACAGTGATATATTTTTGTCGTAACATCCAACTCATGCCATGGTTAAACAGAACAGTATCATTTCCATAAACACATCCTATTAACCAAGTTTTATTTATTGTCTATGACGTTGTTACGAGTTATGTGCTGTGCTAGGCAACGGGTAGGGTCTGTGCCCTCAGGTTGCTTCCCATCCAATGGGGATGTCCGATTGCGAAAACTAACACCCTGCCCCTTCTGATGAAGGTATAAACAAGAAGGGAGTGATTGATGTTGCCTTAAGTGGAGGCAAAAGATTAGAGGTAAGTTTCAGGTGAGCCTGGGGCAGAAGTTGTCAGTGTGGAGCCCCTGGCCTCCTCGGGAATCCTTAAATAGCTGCAGAGCACCTCCAGTACTCTGAAATTGTGCGCCAAGTGTGAGTGCATATCCACGTAAGCATTTTCTGGTGATCCATCAGCCTTAGCTAATTTTGTCAGGTCCACGGTCCAAAAAGATTAAAGATCATGGGCAGGGTGAGAATAGAGGAAGGCTAAGGATAAGCATTAGGAAGAGCACCAGAAATGATGAGTGACGGGGAAGTGGGCAGGGACAGAAAGCCCTCAAAGGGCACGAGGGAGGTCGGGAGTGCATCCTGTCAGCCAGGGAAGAGAATGATTTCAGAGGGCGTCAGTGGAGCACGGCAGGGCAGGGGCACTATGGAGCCAGGATGCCTGAGTTTGGGTCCCAGCTCTTCCTCCTGTTGGCTCTGGGAATGCAGGCACGTCGCCTAACCTCTCTGTGCTTCATTTGTAGAATAGGAATTATAATAGTACCTATCTTACAGGGTTGTGGTGAGAATTAGAACAGTGCCTGGAACGTAATATTAAATGCTATATAAGAATTTGTTGTAACTATCTGCAGTAGCTGCTGTGTTCGTTTTAATATTTGCTATAATAATTATTAGATGCCGTGAAAGTCAGTAGGTGAAAGACTGAGAGGACCACTTGGCTTGACACATAGGAAGTCACCAATGGCCTCAGAGAGAGCACGGCCAGTTGGGTTGTGGCAGAGAAGCCAGACTGCAGTGAGCTGTAGAATGCAGCAGACATGAGGAGTTGGGGTCTGTGAATGTGGCTTATTCTCACAAAAAATTTTTTGGTGAAGGGAAGGAGAGATGGAATAGTAGGTTAGGGAAGAGATAAGACTGAAAAAAGGGTAGTTTCTTTCGCTTAAAGTGGGGAAGTCTTGAGCATGTTTCTATGCTGAAAGGACATGCCATAAGGGAAGAGATTAAAGATACAGAAAAAAGTAGCAAAGTGATCCCTTTGATGGAAGGTCTCAGAAGGGGGTTGGAAATGCAGATGCTCCTTGATTTACTGTGGGGTTACCCCCTATAAACCCATCGTAAATCAATTTGACTTACGATGGGACATAATCCCATCATAAATTGGGAAGTGTACCGAATGCATGTCACTTTTGCACCATCGTAAAGTCAAACCATCCTAATTCAGGGCCTGTCTGTATGCCCCAAAGCAGACAGAGTAGCTTTAGAAGACAGCAAAGAAGCTGGGAGGAAAGTCATAGATGGTGATATGGCTAAGCACACAGGTGGAGAGGAGGAAAGTAAGGGAGTCTGTGTGTGAAATCTTTATCTTTGGTATCTGGGAATCTGGGACATCTACCCAGAACAAGGAGTTGGGTGGAATTTACAGCTGGACAGGAATATTCAAGATTTGGAGTAGCCACTGCAGAGAATGGGAAAGGGAAATGAATCGTGACGGCCAGAAGGCTTATTGGAGCCACTTCCTGAACTGGGAAATTACTGGGAAATTTGTATTAAAGCCTAACAGGGGTAGCAGGTGCCTCGCAGCCCCAGGGGGAGGGGAGGAGCCAATGGGTGATTGGTCTCACCTGAGCCAGGAGACAGGTGTCATGAAAAGCTTAAGGAGGTCATGCAATGAAACAGCTGGTGACAGTAAAACAGGTGGGTCGGGCTTCCTTTCTCCATTTGGAAGTCTTTAAAAATACAAACCTAATTGTGTCACTTCCCAGCTAGGTCCATTTTACTGTAGCAAGCCAAGAATCACTGAAGGACTCACGTGGCATCTCCATCTCATGAGGACACTGTATGTGCCATTCAGAGTCCCTCACAAGACTCACTGGGGTGACCAGAGTCACAGCTGAGCTGTATTAATCCTACCTGATAAGACCAGCCCAACTGTGGCCTCGCCCCAGAGAGGCACATGGAGCACCCCCAGCGATGAACACTGGGGTCTCAGAGCGAACATCCTTTTCGACCAAATTCTGAGGATTTAAGAGACAGGAACTAGCTTTTTACAGTGAATTCGTTTCTCATATGACTAGTTCCTAGTTTTCCAGTTTAAGGAACCTCTTTGTTTTTTTTATCTCTAACCAAAAAATATCTCACTATTATGCCTATCTTCATGCACATGACACTCCCAAATACAGCATCTAAAACAATGCTTAATCAAAATAAGTATTCAAGTATTGATTAACCAGTTACTGCTTTTAAATTCTACTGCTTGGCTGGGCGTGGTGTTCATGCCTTTAATTCCAGCCCTTTGGGAGGCTGAGGCAGGAGGACTGCTTGAGTTCCAGACCAGCCTGAGCAATATAGTGAGACCTCGTCTCCGGGAAAAAATTTTTTAAAAATTAGCTGGGCATGGTAGTGCATGCCTCTCATCCCAGCTACTTGGAAGGCTGAACCAGGTGCATGGTTTGAGCCCAGGAGTTTGAGGCTGCAGTATGCTATGATTGTACCCACTGTACTCCGGCCTGGGTGACAAAACAAGATCCTGTATGAATGAATGAATAAATAAATAGATAGATAAATAAATAAATCTGTACTCCAGCCTGGGTGACAAAACAAGACCCTGTCTAAATAAACAAATAAGTAAGTAAGTAAGTAAGTAAAATTCTACTGCTTTGTTGAACCTTAAATTCTATTCCCTGGACATATTTTTTAAATCCCTAATGATTCCTATCTTTACTGTTTTCCATGGTTTACATCTTTCCAAGGCTCTATTCTTTTAGGTTCAACAGTGAAAACTGCTAATATTTATTAAGCATTTATTGCGTGTTACATACTGTGCTGTGTTTCACATGTATGAACTCATGTGATCCTTACGTCAGCCCTATGAGGCAGGTACTGTTATTATCTGAATTATTCCAAGAAACGGAGGCATATAGAGGTTAAGGGCTTTCCTGAGAGGTTCACAGCTAGTCAGTAACAGAGTCATGATTCCAGCTCAGAACTGGCTAACTCCAGCATGTAAGTTCTTAACATCTACATTTCACCACCTCCCAGTCAGATTTTTTTCCAGACTGGAAAAAATGGGCTGGATTCACCATTGGTCTCTTGGTTTTTTTTTAAATTTACATTTGATCTAAGTCAACAAGATTTAGCCAGTGCTAGATATATGCAAAGCACTGTTATATAAATATATGCAATATCATTTATTTACAAAAACCATATGTAAGATCTGACACATAAATTATTGATTCTCAACATTATTAAACCAAATCACTTATTTCCATTAGAATTGGCTTTTAAGTTTTATGTCTCTCATCACAGCCTAGAGGTGTTTTTAAGACTAATTTCTACAGACGCCACTGTACTCACCTGGAAGATAATGGGCTTGGACTAAATTATCCCTGGGATCCTCTGTCTCTAACTTCGTGAGAGGTGAATCTCATTTCTGTGCATATTCAACAGTTTTTTGCAAATACTTGAGCCGCTGGCAGTTTGAAACCCCATGATGCTATATAAACATACCATCTTCCCACTGGCTCTAAACTAAGTCATTGCAGGAATGGCTGAATTCCTACAGTAAGGAAGAAATGGAGTACAATTATAACTTTGTCTTTAAAGACCTTCTGTGGGGTTGAATCTTCTCTACTGTGCAAGCAGAATCATTGTGGGCGCTTTCAAATCACAACCAACCTCTCAGTAACATGACTAGACTTTGATACTGGTGGCCTACATTAAAAAGATCACCATAAGCCCTTTAATTAGATTAATTTTAAATAGATCACTCTGGAATTTAATAGTCTTGAGATTGAGATTAAAAAAGCATCAGCTAACTGCTAAAACCAGCACAAACCAGGATAGTGCGGCCCTTCTGTGTTCCTCTAAACTTCAAGTAATGCAGCAGTGTTTTCCCTTTTGCAGGCTGGATCAGGTGGTAATTCACGTAGGAGCACTGAGCTTGAAGGAGTCACAAGAGCTGGTATGTATGCAGCTCTGTCTGGGAGAGACCACTCAGACCTCCATTTTTAGGCTAAAGTTAAAATCAATACCATATTTGCTATGTGGTGGATGCTGTGCCTGAAAAAATACGGTGTGCAACCTCAGGGACTCACTGTCTAGAAACAGGCACTGAGTCTCAAAGAAAGAGCTGCCACCCAAGGTGACGACTCCTGTAGGACAGGAGACGAGGCATCTTCCTCCAAGGGTGGGTGTAGATGTAGCTAAGTTTGCAGGTAAAGAGAAACTTGCAGAACTTGATCCAACTTCAGTTTTCTCTGGGAAGTAGAAGGCAGGGCCATCTGCTGGACACAAAGGAGATAAAAGAGTAAAGGCTTGAAGAGTGGTAAATGTCGTGCATTGCTGCCTTGGAGAAAGGGAGAGACAGCTGAAACACAAAAGGTTGCCCAGTGGTGCCGAAAACTAAAGTTGTAAGTCATGAATTTGTCATACCACCATTCAACACAGTTGTGGAATTTTTTTTCTAGGTACACTCTTCAGCCAGAACATAGGAACAAGAATGCAGGCAAATTGGATTGTTCTAGGTTTAGGGATTAGCAGGTTAGCTGATGCAAAAGCAAGGGAGGAAGGAGTTAAAGTTGCTGACAGAAAAGCAGATGATGCATCAATTTTGAGGCCTGGGTGAATTGGTTCAGAAAAGAAAGCACAAAGATGTTTAGAATTGTTCATCAGAAGGTCTACAAATTAACCATGTTTCCAGAATTTAGATATTCTAACTCCAAAGATTAAACTGAATTAATCTAGCCCAATATCATCTTGATGGGTTTTGTTTGATGATATTTTCCTATTATTTGGATTTTGAAATGGGATGTATAATATATACTTACAAAATTGCAATTCAGTGCTTTTAGGCAAGCCACAAGGGAACATATATTACCACACATAATAAGCCTGGAATCAGAACTTGAGACTTGATTTATTCTTATACTTGATTTCCTCTTACAAAATGTCTTTCAACTAAGGTAGCATGGTGCGGGAAGTATTTTTCCTTTTTCTTCTCTTTTCAATTGCTTTCTTTTCCAACGTGTAATGTAAATTTCAAAATACTATCATGTCATGACATGAAAGGCTGTTTTATTCATTGGGCTGAACACTAGAATAGTGTAGAGGTAATCTTGGAATAGAGATAATCTTCTGGTAAAAGGATCATCTTATCCTTATCCCTTATAGGGATAGTGTTGCCAAGGGGACAATAACCTTGGCCTCTGAGTAGCCATTGCTCTCCACGGGATGATGCTTGAATGGACACTGCTATCAGCTCTCTCTTGGGTGTTTCCTTTTTCCTTACTTTCAGCTAAGGTTACCCTTTTACTCTTTTCTTAAACAGGGACTAAACAAATGATTCAACTATATCACATTCTGATTCTGTGTTAATGAAATTGTACTCAGTATCTTGATTGGTCTTTAGGCTATATCCCAATATTCTCTTTTTAACTGTCCTAGTTTACTTCTACAGAAAATTGATCACCTCTATAAATACAAATATTTTAAGTTAAAGTCTCAAAAGGGAGCTCTTTTCCACTTTTAAGTAGTGGGACGTGTTCTGAAACAATCAACAAGCACCTACTGAGTCCCTGCTATGTGCCCCACACCGTGATTGACCTGGACTCAAGAGGGAACAAGATCTGACCCCTACCCTCAGGGAACTCACATTCTAGTTGGAGGACAGTCACTGTACACAACTGTCTTACAGTGTGGTAGGTTTAGGTACTCTACTTGAGATAGATACAATTATAAGGGTCCAATGAGAGGAAATATTAATCTTTTTCTGGAGGAATTTGAGAAAACGTAAGAACCATGGTACAAAGTACCTTCTGTGATGTATATAATCTTTTTCTTCTCAACCTTTGTCAACTGCATACAATCTGTAATCGAAATTTTAAAATATGTCTGTCATGTCATTAGACAGAAAAGACAGTGTCGTGCAGTAGGCTGAATAGCAGAAGAGAAATTACATCAGCAGGATCTCTATGAACAGTTACCACTTATCAGAATGTACTGCTTGTCTCCTTAGCAAGGTTTTTTGTACTGACAAAAATGTGAAGAAGTATGAGATTGAATGCACAGCTCACCTTCACCAGGGATCTCTACTTTGCAACCTGGGATTTTCTTGGCAATGACATTTATCATTGAATTTGGCTCATTTTCCCACTCTCCAGTGGTGTATCAGTTGGCAGATTTGAAGAACTTGTTACTGAACTCTAGTATCTAAGCTGTAGGTGACTGTAATAAATCACTTATTCCTGTACGGTCTTCTCTCTACATTTAAAGGCCCAACATGCAGCAGAAATAGGAGCCGATGGCATTGCTGTCATTGCACCTTTCTTTCTCAAGCCGTGGAACAAAGGTAAGTAGATAGGTCTAGATGTACAGTGCCTCACGTGGTCTACTACTTCTTGCCTCCATTCAAAATGGCTGTGTTTAATTCACAGAAGCGAAGTCCTGCAGACTGGAGGCCTAAAGTTGCAATGGCACAATGGTTCTCTGGAATATTTGTTCTCCCTGGATCCAGAGACGAGACTGCATTAAAGCACTTCCATAATTTTGCCAAGTAATCTGATTGGGTTACCCACTGAGCCCTGGCCAATCTGTAGGTGCCTGTGTTTTGGTGAGGAGTCCACTCCTGGTCTGCTCAGTAGCATAGGATGTCTGAGTCACATGGCAAAGCATGGGACTGTTTTTCTTGAAAGAGAGGAGTATAAGTGATGGGTAATTTTGAGACTGCATATCCTAGTCAAGGTTGAATGAATGCTGAATTTGAAGAGATTTCGCAGAAATATTCATTGTCTTCTAAAATATTAAAGTATTGCTTTCTCCTTCTCCACTGCTTTCTTTGTGGAAACTTTTTAGAGTGTCCAAGTATACTGAGTCTTTTTAATCCCTTTGATTAGCAAAAAAAGAAATACAAATTTTAAAAGTCTAACAATGGACAAGATGTCATTTGCATACATGATTAAATAAATCCATAAATAAATGTATAATAGGTCAAAATCATCATGAAATATCACCTGTTGTTGGTAGATAAAAAAGAGTTGTTAATGTAGATAGGTAACTTAAATATTGCTAATTTAGGAATTTAAAATGAACGTTTTTTGAGTTTTTTCACATGGTTTTACAAATTTGTACATGAATACTCTTCCTAAAAGATGAACGAAGGAGAAATAATGAATTAGACGTAATAATTTGTCAGAAATATTTATCATAGACCAAATACATCATCACAGTATTTGGATGAAGTACATACAATTCTCTCTCACTATCCGGTGGCATTCAAAGTATAAGCAATTCTGCTGGATTTATTTGTCATCTGCAGCAATGTTGCCATTAAAACCCACATTGGAAAGTAGGAAATCCCGCTTCCTCAATAAACCAGAGTGCACTCTGTTCTGATGTGTCTGGATTTCTCCCCAAAGGAAAAAGTACCAAACTCTGGTTGGATTTATGTGAAATGCGCCACTACTCTTACAACTTCTCTCTTGAAGTAAATGTTATCTTTTTGTTGTAGAACTTTCTCTGTTACAACCTGATTACTCTGATCCTATTGATCTATACTAGTCCCTGTTGGTTACTGTCCACACTTAGCCCTTCTGGGATAAGAGGACAACAGTCCTATCTAATGCACTTCTGGTTTTTATAAGAGTTTTTCATGATTATCTCTTAATATGTGGGAAGGTTTGCATCAATTTTTAATAGTAGTTTAGTATGATAGGAAAATAAACATCGTATTCTGACCTTTCTACAGAAAGGAAAATAAAATTTTGAAGGAAGCGAGTTGCAAAAACATTGTGGTAGCAACATCAGGGATGGTAAGAGAGGTCAAGAATCTTCAGCTTCAGGGGGAGGGCAGTGGGTAAAAAGAAAAAAAAAAAATTTCAGCTTCTGAGAAGGACGGTTGCATTTCATCACGTGATTTGTTTTTTTTTTTACTGGGAAAAGCCACTGTTTTATACTTGTTCACACTATGACTGTTTCTGCTGTTCTTTCAGATGTCCTGATTAGTTTCCTAAAGGAGGTGGCTGCTGCTGCCCCTGCATTGCCATTTTATTACTATCACATTCCTGCCTTGACAGGGATAAAGAGTAAGTTGCTGTTTCTTTTGATATTTCTTTCCCTCCAACTCTCACATCTTACCCTATTTCACTAAGAAACTCCCACTGCATCCCACCCTGCACCATGCCACAAAAGTACAACCAGGTATTGGCTGGGAAGTTCCAACTGCTTCTCAATATCACTCTAATATCCCAGCCCTTATCGATCATTCCACCACCTTATAATGGAAGCTGTTAAGTATGAAGGAAGGGGTGACCTCTAGGCGCTTGTAACAGACACCTGTACCGCTGTCACACACACTCCTACTTCTTATATGAGAAGACACAGGCTGTAAGTCCCCCTAGGACAGGACCATGTCTACCCTGTACCTATTATATTCTCAGTGCCAAGCACATAGGAAGGTACTCTGATCTCTTCTGCCTTTTCTTCTGGCTCTTTTATTACTGCTGTATTTCTTCAGTGAGAAGATTTTTACAATTAGATGAAAGTTCTTAACAGTTTATTTTTTAAATCACATTCTATTCTAAATTCCATAAAAGAAAAAAATGGAGGCTGTGCTTTATAAACATTCTGAGGAAAAGATAAACCGTTTTTACTACTTCCTGCTCTCACAGTCACCACTCGTACAAAACATTTAACCTCTGGTCACCAAAATGTGTGTGGGGATTTTTCCTCACCAACGACCAGTTCTCCATCGGAGACTAACCTGGTGTCCTATAGTTCAGTTCAATTCTGACACTGTCTACCTGGAGTTGGCATCAGATCCCCAGGTCAAGGACTCAGTCCCACCAGACTCCCCCACTTCAGATACCAGTCTCAAGTCCCAAGCTGCAACCTGGGCTTCTGACCAACTGGCTACAGATCGGGGTTCCCACAACCTCCTCCTTGAGTTCAATTAAGTTGCTGGAGTAGCTCACACAATTGAAGGAAACACTTTACTTTCTATTGCCTGTTTATTACAAAGGATGTTACAAAGGGAACAGATAAACAACTACGTGAAAAGATGTCTAGGTCTGTGAGAAGGGCATGGAGTTTCCAGGCCCTCTCTGGGGGAGCCACCCTCCGGGCACCTTCATGTGTTCCGCAGCCCAGAAGCTCTTTGAACTCTTCCTTTTGGGGTTTTATGGAAGCTTCATTATGTAGGCACGATTGATTACATCATTGGCCATTAGTGATCAATTTGACCTTCAGCCCCTCTCCCCTCCCCAGAGGTCAGGGCATGACTGAAAGTTCCAACACTCAAATCACATGGTTGGTTCCCCTGGCAACCAGCCCCATCCTGAAGCCGTTATCCAGGAGACGCAGTAGCGCAGTAGCGTGGAGGACTCTTACCACTTTGAAGGTTCCAAGGGATTTAGGAGCTCTGTGTCAAGATGCTCCTGTCACTCAGGAAATTATACAGGTCTTAGGAGCTTTGTGTCAGGAACCAGAGTCAAAGACCAGATGCTAAAACAAAATATTTTCCTAGCACCCGTATCTACAAGGGTTTTAGGAGCTCTGTCTCAGGAACCAAGGGCTCAGACCAGATATATATTCACACTATCACAAATGTCCATCCATCTATGGTCTTTAAGGAATGGAAAGTTTAGGATTATTATTTGACAAGTACATAGGAGCTACTAGGCAGGTACAAGGGACAAGTGATTATGCCCAGTGTGCAGTCAGCTCCAGCTCACAACAGCCCATGGCAGCTCAGTGCAGATGTCTGGGGCTGTGTGAGATGTTATTCCATATTTCGCAGAGCCGTGCAGATTAATGAGGTATTTATTATTTCGAGCAGTTCGTGCAGAGGAGTTGTTGGATGGGATTCAGGACAAGATCCCCACCTTCCAAGGGCTGAAATTCAGTGACACGGATCTCTTAGACTTCGGGCAATGTGTTGATCAGAATCGCCAGCGGCAGTTTGCTTTCCTTTTTGGGGTCGATGAGGTAAGTCACCCTCTAGCATATTGCAGTAGGTCAGTTTCCCTCTAAAACAACTTATGTAGTTGTTTATATAGTAGCATCTCTTCCCTTTCTTTTTTTCATAAAAGTGAATTCTCCTTATCTGTTTCTGATTAGCAACTGTTGAGTGCTCTGGTGATGGGAGCAACCGGAGCAGTGGGCAGGTAAGCATGACTCATCTTTCCCAATGTTTATAAATTTAAAGTCCCCCATAAAGACCTTCATCACGAGAGTAGCTATACTTCTTGCATGTACATCCTTTCCAATAGAAGTTACCTTTCTTTCCAACATTCTTCCAGTGAGAGGGAATTAAGTAGGGCTTAGCTGTTTATTAGAAACTTAGTCATTGTTGTTTAGAAGCATCTGTTGCAGTTAGAGGTACGACACATGAGCACATGAGCTGAGAGCATGCACAGGGCCTATAACGTAACAGAATCTGACCCTTGGTGCTCTAGCCCTGGTGATCATTTTCTCAAGGATAGACTCACACTGTCAGAAATTATTTGGTTACAAATAACAGAAACCTATTCAAAGTAGCTTATGTAAAAGAAGATAAGTTATTATAAAATACTGGGAAATTACATAGAACCCAAGAGGAGGAGCTGCAACCAGGCTTCAGAGACGATGAAAATTGGGAACTGCAAAGCTCCCAACAGCCTAGGCAGATCGTCCTCTCTCTGTGGTCTCCCGGAGACTCTCACCTCTACATCTCTCTATACATCTCTTTGTTTCTCTTCCCTTACTCTCTCTCCAGATGGGCCTTCTCTGCTTCAACATGCACATGGCCAGTCGTGGCTGCCCAAGCGTGGCATCTCAGGTTATCATTAGAGAGTACTGCCTAGTCAAGTGTCCACCGCAGGTCCAGTCAGCCGTGGACAGGAAACCAGAATCATGTGGCCCATTCGCTACTCAGAAGGCAGGCAATTCAATTAGCATATCCATTGCACACGTTAACCTAATTCATCAGAATATGCTTGCAAGGAGATTGATTGAAACGTTTACATGAACTGAAAGTACATTTCTTCACTGTAGGAAAAGTAGCAGGGAAGCAAAGTAACATTCATGACATATGTTGGTGAGCATGGCTTTGCAGAAGAGTCGTAGAGCTTGATAATCTTAATGGCTTGTTCACCAAGCCAAGGTGGCCTGTGGCATCCATTGTAACTACAGGGATGTTTCTACCAAGGAAGCATGAGTGGAACCTTTTTTTCCCTGTGAATTTTTACTTTTTTCACACCTGTTTTTTGGCCTCCTGGCTAGGCACTTTAATTCTGTCAACATAGTCTGTGAGCAAAGTACATTTGGTTAGACTTCATTTCTTCTTAATTATAATCACCTTCCCATCTGAGGATACACCAGAGACCACTGGGATTCAAATTTTAGTACTCGAAACTCCTCAGACATTATTCTTCCATATTTTATTCCAGAAGATAACGTGAGCATAACATTCCTGGAATCCCTTGCTGTTGACCCAGGGTCTACATATACAAGGACCAGCGACATTTCTGTTCTTGGTACATCGAGATAAACACACTTTCTGGTACTGACTTATTATATGAGAAACCATTTGACTTACTTTTGTTTCTCCTTTAAAGAAATTGGGAAAATGCCCTTATTATGAATTTCTGCAAACTTCTACCTTTCTGGTTTCTCTAAGAATTCAGTGATGAGTCTAAGATATTTGTCTTTATTAGTAGAGTTAGAGGTTTTTTTCTTAAGTCTGTGAGAACATTTTATCAGATCAAATAACTATTCTCACCTTCATTTTTATTGAATTGCCATAGAAGACAGCATGAAGTGATGGAAAGCCTTCGTGGCAACTTTGCAGCCCTTTTTTGAGCAAATTAGAAACTAGGCCTACCTTGCGGGGCTTTGAGAGGATTAGACATGATTTATATCAAGCACCTGTAATATAATAGTCACTTAATAAATGGTCCCTCATTTCACTATTATCATCATTATTAATGTTATTATGTATAAACTAATCTCTAAGTGATATATGAGTTGATAAGGAATGTAAATAATTGGTTGAGATTTTCCCCTTTTACTGTGGCTCCATTCACCCAATTTCTCAGCATAAGGTTTTTAAGACTTACCTCAGATGCTACATTTTTACTTTTGGTTTTTATTTATTTTTTTACATTTGTTTTTTACTTTCTTCCAGCTACAGAGAGGGGCAGATGCTACATTTTACCTACAGTTCTTACCTAGCACTGTGCCTCTGTGTGTGCCATAGGGCAGGTGTTGGCCTCAAGCACTCCCTACTCATTATACCTCCGTCTCTCACTTTTTCTTTCTAATTTCATCCTTTTCCCATTTTTCTTCCTTTATCCCCTTTTGTATTCTCTGCAGCACTGCTTAGTATTGGAAAACTCAGAACCAAAGACAATCTGATCCCCTAATAGATTAGAACCCAAAAACAGACTGCTAGGAGATCTGGGCATGTTTTTTCCCTTTTAAACAATAAAAGGGTTTGAAGATCTGGCCCTTTCCTGTTGAGTTATTGAACCTGCAGCATTTCCTGTTGTCTTGCCAGTACCTATAACTACTTGGGAAAAAAGACAAACCAGATGTTGGAGGCTTTTGAACGGAAGGACTTCTCTGTAGCCCTGAACTATCAGGTAAACTTTCTCTTCCCTTCCTATAAATCATAGCCTTTTTTCTTCCCCCTCCTCCCACCCAGCCTAGCTATCCAGAGGGGGAAAAAAAGATTTTTTTTTTTTTTT